AAAGAGTGTACAAGAGCACGGTAGCCGTGACATAACTGTTCCATCATAGAACAGTTGAACACTTCTATCTAGTGAGGTAGAAGGCAAGTTTCTCAAGAAGTTGTTGTAGACAGGGTGTTCAGCGATGATTTCTGACTTTTGTCAATTCCCTGCTGATGCGAAGCGGTTGCTGTAGAGGTATCACTGAACTCCACTCTGTGTGGCAGCTGAGGGATATCAAGTTTGCCATCTGAAAACCAGAGTGCAGAAAATAATGAGCAAAGCTTTGTGCTTACAAGAACGTCAGTGCAGTCTTTTTCAGTTCTTTGCTTTCTCCAATTTCTCTGGCACTTTCCTGTTGATCTCAGCACGGTTAAAGATGTGAATTTACTCTGGATTGTGCCAAGCTGACGGGCACGCTCTGGGTTACCAGACTAATTTAAAGTAACCATAAAAACGGGAAGCTGCCATTTTTTAAATGGAAACGCAAAGTTTTAATTAAGGTAATTGCAGCTGCTGCCAACCTTGACTGGCTGCTGTTAGAAGGTGTAGTATGCAATGTTACAATCTATGGTAAAGCGTGGAAGCACAACAAACAAAATGCCCCAGGGAGGATTTTGTACCATCTGCCTCGTTCTAGCTACGTGCTGGAAGTTGCCTGATCTTGGTTGTAATAAGCTGCAAAGGCAAATGTGTTTGGAAGAAGAAGTGGAAGCCTTCTTTAGGGAGAGCCACGGGCTGGGAAGGTGGAGTTCAGGCCCAAGGGCTGTGTGTTTCTGCAGAGCTTGTTGTTCTCCATTGGAAGTGCCGATAAAGGTAAACCAGCTGGTGTGCGTTGCAGAAAGCGCTTTGCTGCCGCCGTTGCTTCCTGTTCGAAGGTATTGCAGAGCCAGTGTCGCCTCTTAAAGGAAGAAGAGCGCTTTGTAGTCGTAGTACTTGCTGGTTTGCTGTTCCTGGTGTGAGCGAGTGCCTTTTTTGTCACTCAGATATGGCCTACTTGAAGGATGCAGACACTGTAGCGGTCAGCATGAAATTTCCTAGCGGAGCAATTGTTACTTTGGACATCAGTCAGCACTGCACTAAAAGCTGTGATCAGAGACTAGAGGTGCGTTCTTACTTTTAAGTCAAGTCTGTCGCGGCACCACAGGCTAGCACGAGTTTTACCCTCTATGTGTTCACGTGGGGCAATATGTGTTGTGCCCCGTGCATATGCCTGCAAGCACGTTTCACAAAACACCTCTGTACCTCGGCAGCGGTGGATTGCTTGTGTTCGTTTAACCTACAATCCACTTTCTCCTTTGTTACCCGAATGTTGCCTCTGTTCACGTGTATTCTGTTGGGGTTGTAAGCTGCATGCAATCATACTAGAGCAGGAATTGGTGTCAGCTCTCCAGAGGCTGAAATGTTGTTGCATGGTCCGTTTGTTGTCTTTCCAGGGTGTTTTTAGGTGTATAGCGAGCCAAGAGTTAAGGATACTAAAGGGGAAGAAAAGTGTAAACTCAGAGGCAAATTGTCTGTAAATTCCTAAAGTCATGAATTACAACAGATGTGTGGGCTGCATTTGGGGAGTAATAGCTTTTAAATACTTAAAAAAGGAGCTTTGCTCAGATGGGAAGAAAAAAAGTGGAGGTATCACATAAGCGGAAACCACTGTACTACAACACGTACGTGGTATTTTCTGTTGTGTCTGATCCATACAAGGGGGTATGTCAGTTGTAACTCCTAATTTTAGTGGCTACTTTTTTTCTTGGTTGTACAAACCAGGGCTTCCATAGACTAGCCAGGTGTTTAAGATCGAAAGCACAATAACTTAGAAATGTTGTTCTCCTTCCTGTTTTCTGCCTTCCCTGCAGGTTCACGGTTCTCAAGGAACGTTACGGGTAGATAATCAGAATCCCCTGGGCATTACGGAGCATGGGACCTCGGTATCCATATATTCACAGACCCAAGCCGATCGCTACAGAGATGCACACAGGGAGCTCTTTCGACACTTTCTGAGAACCCTGAAAGGTAGGACGAAGCTTACGTTAATGGCTAGCGTTGCTTTGGATTCGCTTTCAGCGAAAACTTCCCTTGGAAGCTGTTCCAATAGCGCTTGCAATTTGGTGTTTGTGCCTGAAATCCCAAAAAGAAACGAGTAGGTGTGAAAACTAGGAACGCGATTCATCACGGTTAAGTTTCAGCCAGTGTTGTGCAGGTGGTGAGCAAGCTCCCTGTAAGCAAACATGGGGTTTCACGGGCTGGGCTGCCGCCCTCACAAGCTCTGGTGTTCTCAGCGGATGCGTGTCAAGCACGACAGTGCATGCAGCTCGGTAGCAGCATGCGTGGAGTGGTCAGCCTCCGAAGGAGCTGATAGTTCGACAAAAGTGCAACCAACTGACCTTGTTTCAGTAAATGAAAGTGAATGACTCGTTGGGGGGTGCGCTTCTTTTCTCACTTTCAAGTCAGTGAGACGGGTGAGCGATGGAGTGTTGGTCTGAAACTGTGTTCTGAGAAGAAATGAAAATTGGGAGGGAACATTACGTTGGACCTTACTGTCATTTGTGAAGAAAGCAGCCATTTATAACAGCAAGGAGACCCTCATCTGGAGTCCTGGCTGCCCGGAGGGAATAAAAATGTTTCTGTTCTGCTGGCTGCATTGACAAAAACACAGGATTTTAGTCACAGAACAGGAAGGAGAGGGGGCTGGAGCTTTCTTTTTAAAATCTGAGGCCCCGGCTCCAGGAGCTGAAGAGGGGTGCCGTGCTGGGCGCCAATGTGCCGAAAGGCAGAGCAGGTGATAATGGCAGGTGATAATACGGGTTTCATCCAGTGCTTCGTTCCTGTCCCTGCAGGCAAGGAATCCCCCGTGATAACCAAAGAGCAGTTTCTCTGGACGATTCAGGTCACTGCAGCTGCTGAACAGTCCTGGAGAAACGGATCCGCTGTTGACTTGCGCAACGAAGCAATAGATTCGTCCGTAATCAAGACTGAGATAATGTGACACACGCTGCTGTTTTCTGAGGTGAAGGATAACTGCTAAGCTGTGCTACAGTGAGGTCTTTCCACCTAGCGATGTCTCCGCTGTAACCTTAAAACAAGACCTGCGGTTTTGATGTTTCCGCCGGGAAAGCCTGGAAGACGGAGGCACTTTCGAACCAGAAGCGCTCGGTGCTGAGGCTGTGGATGTTTCTTAGCGCGTCAGCCAGAGCCCTCGAGAAATTCTGGGCAGTTTTATCCAGGCGGCTTTTCCTCCTGGAGAGCTCTGCTGGCTGTGGAGCTCTGTTTTCCTGGGAGAAGACGGGTGCTCCTCGGGCCGTGGTAAGGTGGTGTAGACCACCACCAGCCGTGGTGGGAACGGTGCAAGTGGGCGGCTTTCCTGGCGGCTTCGCAAGCGAGGTGATGTAATGCTCAAAAAAAATACGGGAGCATCCGTCTGGTCCATGCTCATTTCCCTTCAGTATATGCAGGAATGTGACTTCTGTGCTGAACTCGCCTCTGGGCCTCCTATTTATTGTTTTGTTTGTTGTTTTTACTGGGTTTTCTAAATCTTTTTTAAAAGAAGTTATGATCTAATTTTCTTGGGAGGGTGGGAAAAAGAAATGAAAAAGCAGGGAGGGAGACCTCTGACCGTCCTGATGTTGGAGAGATGAGAGACTTCCTAGTAAGGCCATAAATTAAGGCTATAATTAAGGCTATTCCGTAGAGGAGCGACGCACTTGGGCATTTCGGTAATAAGCACTGCATTGTTAAAGGGCTTTTTCAGAACGCGATCTGTGAATTTGTACAGGGCCCCTGTACCACGGCGGTTACCGAGACATGCGGCTGCTGGGTGGGTTATTCAGCACCCAGCGTTGTCTGGATTACTCACTGCAGCAGCAAGGTAGCTGTCTGGAGGCTGTTGTTTTCCTTGTTTAAATGCAAATGTTGTATGTTAACATTTTAGTAGCAAAATTGAACTAATAATCATGTTCTTTGAGGGTAGGAAGGGCATCTGATTGCGTATTTTAAAGGTGTTTTTTTTACAGTCCAGCAGATTTGGAATACACACCACAGAAAAAGATAGTGCCTTCACCAACAGGCAAGTCTGCTTTTAAACCAGGTTCTTTGTACCTTTTTATTCTTGCGTTGAGCTTATTGCAGATGTATAGATTTTACTATTCTTGTCTATTTCTCACATGCCAATTTTCAAGATCTTTTGAAAGCTTTTTTTATTGTATTAAAATAACGTTCTTGCCTTGAGTGTTAGTTTATAAATGACACTTCTTGCAAGATTCTTTAGTTCAATCGATTTCCAATTCCTGCGTATGGAATATGTGTTACTAAAACTAGAAATAGTGGTGACATTCATAGCTAAGGACAATTCTCTCGTGGAAATTGTTTTTAACGGTGTAATTTTTCAAACTCAGAAAAGCTGTGTCTTAGCGATAAAGATTGCTATCAGTTTCATTCTCTATTTTCTAGTCATTTATTGGAAAAAAGAAAGTTTTACCTATAAAGGAGTAGACGTTTGCCTCTCCGTAATCACTATAGCGACTCATTAATAGCAAGCGGGTTTCTTTTCGGTGTGGTGGGGTTTCAAGGGTGGCTCTGTGCAGGTGTGGCTTGGTGGGATGTACGCTTCCTCCCGTGGAGCGTCGGGAACGGAAAGCAGCACTGAGAGCTTTCGGGGTGGGGTGAGGCTGCTTGCATACGGGGAGCAAACTGCTCTCGCACGCTCCCCCAAAACAGGAACCCTGGCCGTGGAGGAAAGCTCTCTGCTCCCTCAGGCCGGTTGTCCTGATGTTGGCAAGGAGCAAAGGGCCTGTTAACGGCGCTCGTGCTTTGGCAGCTGCTCCTGCGCAGAACTGCGTCTCTCTGTAGCTTCGTGGTTGCTTGGTGAAGCAAGCAACTTCAGGCCCTTCGAGGCCTTACACTTGGAGGCTTACGCCGGTATAGGAGGACGCTTTCCGTACAAAATGAGCAAGACTTGAGTTGCCAGATGTTGTAATTCCCATGTGTGCTTTTATTGTGTTACAAAAAAAAAAAAAAAACCAACAGAGAAACCACAGCTATAAAAATAACACATTTTCCAAAGATAACATTACAAAAAATACCATTCATACCATGGTTGGAGTGTATCAGTTAACACTGCCGGAAGAAGCCTTTGTTAACATTGAAAACATGAACAATTGTTTCAAAACCTTTAAAGCATTAAAGTGCTTTAATTAGCCGTTATCTTGGGACATAGGTTCACATTTCAGCAGTGCCAAAGGAGCCAGGTTCCTAATCGGTGCAGTGTAGAGGGGCGTAACGGCCTCCAGGATGGTGCGCTCGCACCTGCGGCTCACCCCGGGCGGGAGAGCAGAGCAGAGCCCGTCGCCGGAGGGCGGGAGCGGGAGGAGGCCACCTCCTGCGTGCCCGAGGCTCGGAGCCGCTGTTGGACACCGAGACGAAGGCAGCAGAGGGAGGACCTGGGTCCCGGGGCTGCTGTTACGGCACGTACAGAGTTCAGGCTCGTTTTCCCGTGATCTTCCCTTTGAGTGGGGACAGACACCGGCCTGCAAGGAGGAGAAGGCGCATCTCTGAGGCGAGCCCTGAACGCTGTAGGTGGGACTCGAGCTCTTCTTCTTTTGCTCTACTGGTTAGAAGGGCCAGGGCTTTGCGGAGGGTCTCCCAGCTCCTTCCCCAGCCGGGGGGAAACGGGAGATAGTTGTAGGTCTGCCTTCTGAAGGCCTCCATCGCAGAGGCAACGCGAAGAGGAGATGCAGGAGCAGAAAGGTGCCAGGCGGCGCCGTTTCTGCACGGATTCCCTCAGGCTGCCCGAAATCTCGAGCGGCCAAAGGCTGAGGGGGCAAATGAAGCAGCTCCCTGCCCTCCCTCCCTTCCTCCGTCCAGCGGCAGCCCCTGTGACGTGCCTTTCGGAGACCTGCTGTGGGATGTCGCCTTTCAGAATGTGTAGTCACGATGAGGGGAGGGAGGGAACGAACACACCTCCTTGCGTCCTTGCTTTCTGCTGAGGTTTTTTTCCAGCCTGAATCAACAGACAAATTACGCCTGGAAAAAACCGACCCGAAACAGAAAACAAAACTGGAAAGACCTCACGTGGTCACCCAGTCCATCTCCTCGCTCCAAAGTAGGATCAAATTTACACCTCCCGCGTTCCTGCTCGCCAGGTCTAACCTGTCTGCAAAACTCCCTCGATGGAGCAGGGAGGGATTACCCAGACCTCTGACTTCCCAGGAGGATTCGCAGGCTCGCCCCGTCCTCTGCAACTGTGTGAAAGATATTCAGAGGAGGAAAAAAAATTTCATTTTGAATAGATAAGGCCGGAGACATGATTTTCTGCATGTTTACATGCTAGAACATGAAATTAATTTACTTGACACTGTAGTGTCTCAGGAGTAAGTATCAATTTTTATAGCTTAAATGAAAATAAATCTTTTTTCTCCTTACAGCACAATGAGTATACTGTATGTACATTTGTTTCTGTTTATATACACAAATATTTAAGTACATGAACACATTGGGAACTGACAAACAGGTTCTTTTCTGCTCTACAAAGAACTGAAGGGAACGGGTACTTTTGGGCAGTCCGTCAGGAAAGCAGATTGCGTTGCTTTGCATCAGTCACTGGCAGGTATCTGTACAGAAAATGGACCAGGTAAGGGCTAAGTCCGTTTTACAATAGAGACCTGTCGGTTTTGGACACCGCAGAGAATACAGAACGGGGGTAGGTAAGCAGTAGCAAAGGCTGGTCTCGCAAAGAGAAAAACGTGCCATCTTTACGCCACGTCCATCAGATGTGGGGCTCCTCCGTTAAAACACAAAACAGCATAAAGCACCAGCAGGTGCCTCCCCTGCCGCGGGCAGGCAGAAAATCCCCGCTCCGTTCGGTGAGCTGGCTCAGCCGCCCTCCCCTTTCCCTCGGCTCTCTGCCGAAGCCACCGCGCTTTCCTCTCCAGGGCAGGTGTCTCCCGCACAGCTCGGGGTCGTGCTTTCACACACAGCTTGCAGTTCCCCTCCGGGCAACAAAATCACATGCCCAAGGCTGAAAATATTTTTCATAGGGGGTTTCATTTCCCCCCCAGTCTCTTGCTGCTGCCTTCTGGAGACCCTCAGTTGATCTCTCCCTCCGTGAATTCTTCCTTTATGGACTGTTTGCGAGATTTGCAGTCCGGGAGGTCAAACCCAAAGTCTGCCCACTCGTCGGCCCCGCCGCGGTTGGGGATGGTGATGGTGTGGCGCACGCGGAAGTGCACGGCCTCCATCACGCGCTGCCGCTGCAGCTCGCCCGAGCTGCCGATGGAGATGGTGGAGGCGTTGCTGCTGGAGCGGATGAGCTGCTGGGCCCCGTAGTCGTGGCTCTGTTTGAGCTCCTGCAGACCTCTCCAGATGATCATCCTGTACTGCTCCGGGATCTTCAGTGCTCCGAGATCCTGGAAGAACAACACTGGTGAGGCAGAGCCAGCAGCCGGGAGAGACGCGACTACCGGCGGGAGTGAGCCCCGGACCCCTGAGCTCGTGCTTCGGGGGGGGGCACGTGGGCACGATGCCCGAGCACCCAACGGTGGCGGGGCTGGACCTCCCCTGGGTCACGACACCAAGCCCACGGGCACATCCCCCATGGGTGATTTCTCATTTGTAACCAACGGCCAGTTGACCAGTTACTCAAGGGCAGCTTTGCAGGTTAGACCTTTTTTTGTTTTCTTTTTTTTTTGGGGGGTGGGTTCACATCAAACTGATGTGAAAATGGGAGGGAGGGGACCTTTCCCCTTTGGACGCAGGTCACAGAGCAGCATGTGAAGCGTCCTCACGTCTGTTCGCCTGGGCGAGGAGCTGTCAACCAGGCTGGCTTCTCCTCCGGTCCTGGACCAGGAGGCTGGAGCAGCACCTGCCCCCGGGGGCCAGTGTCATGCACTAATGCATCGACGTGGGCAATAGCAGGCTGTCACGACGCTGTGGGCTGTGGTCGTAAAGCCAAACAAGGTCGATAACCTCAGGACTGGGGGGCCTGCACCAGAACGAACACCGTCGTAGCAGAGAGCTGCCAGAGATCCATGTTAATGCCAAACACAGAGACTCACGTGAGTGTTAACTAGAGCAGACAGCAAGTATGCAATTAGTAATTACAAATGTCGACTCGGACACACAGCTCAGCAGTCTGATACAAGTTTTGGCCATACCAAACGTTTCCTTTGACAGCTTACAGACGGTTGCAGAGTTAGTTCAGAAAATGGTCCAAAACCAGGCGAAGGTTACGCAACTGGCCCCAGCTACCAATGAAAAATCATCGTGTCTCCGACAGCTGCATCACCAACGCGTGGTCGCGCGTTTTACTGTAGCTGCCAGGTAGACGACAGCTACTACAAACTGCCTGGGGGCAAAAGGGGATTGGGGCAGGAGCTTTGTCTCAGCCAAAACACCGCCTCTGGGACTTAGAGGGCTTGCTATGGCTCAGAGGGTTTAAGATTTATGTTTTTTTCCTCCTTCTTGTTACCCTGATGGGCTGGGGAAGTCCCTGCTTCGGTGCCGCCCTCGGTATCGTCACCAAGAGGCTGTG